AGTATTAAGTGTGATTAAAATTAGACCACACATTCTACCATTCTTTTTACACTGAATATATGAACGTCACATGACCAGTCTAATCACTTAGCCATTTTAGTTAGGAAAATAGTTGTGAAGATTATGCTCTTAATAATGTCTCGTGTCACGTTGAAGGCTTGTTCTAAATGAAAGCCGATAAAAAAAATATGTGGTCCGTCCCAATATATGTACGGAATCTATAATCTATAATAAAATATGTGTACTTTAAAGTCTTCGGGAAAAGGAGCACCTATTCCCATTCACCACTCCTTATTTTGCCTCTATATAATTATACTGTATTATGGAGGTGTTAGTTGATTTCAATGGAGATTTGTGGCTATGGTATAATCGTAAATGGTATGATTCTATTTCCACTCATCTTTTTCTTTTCTTTTTTTACTCCAGGGCGTCTCGGGGAAGGGTCTGAGAGTCTGGAGTAATCAGGACTGAAACTCACTCCACTGAGTTTCGAACCCGAGACCTCCCGTAAGGGAGAGTGAGTCGGCGATAAGCTGGGCTGGACCGCTTCCTCAAAAAATATATCATTATCCAATGATCTAAAAGACCGTGGAAAGAAGGAAAGAAATATAAACTTTATTAATGTAATTTTCTATGTATATATATCTGTTTATGTCATGTATGTATCGTGCATATCGTAACATTAAAAACGCTCTTATATATATATATATATATATATATATATATATATATATATATATATATATATATATATATATATATATATTGTTAGAAAAAAGATATTAAAAATTGCGAGTTTAACCAGATAAAAATCCCGAGTTTGAACAAATCACCAGACAAACCGCCAAATGCAAGAACAAAATTAAACAAAAAATAATTAGAATAAATGAAATGAAATAATAGAAAGGATAAGAAAGCTTATCGCAGGATCGCCCGCAAAAACGGACTGGCCTTGAAGAAAGATAGCCCCTGTATCCCGATAGCTATTCGGACAGGTCTGGCTAGCTCGCTCCCAGGATAATCCTACCACGTTTCAGGCTTGTAGCTACCTTGACTGAAACCTTCGACCGTTGCCAAAATTGCCGATTAAAGAGATAAGGATTCAAGAGTAAGAATAAACCCTTCCGAGTTGAATACGAAAGGGAGTATATTTCGTGAAATAAGCTGAAAGATTCCAAAAGGGAAAAACAAAAGCAAATAACTTGCACAGCTACTTTTACTACGTAAGTGGATGAAGAGATTAGGAGAGATCAATTCCTTTTTTTTTGGTGCGTTCTTGGGAGATCATGCAAGTAGTGAGTTATATACTCACTTTGGAAATCAGGTACATCAATAATTCATATTCAATGAAATTGAATTCACAAAAGTGGCAACGCTCATCCAAATAATTAAGTACGCCAGTTACGATCCTAATGGTTTGGATCAATAATTGCTTTACTTAACCGGCCATGCAGCCTAATAATTTCGAAATTCAAACTTCGAATTTATTATTCCATTTGAATGCATTTGAAATTTAATTGTCCAGACATCCTAATTACATGGTCCTTATACTTGATACATTTCTTTAATCGTTCATACCCGAGCAGGCATACACGTATTACGTAATATATCAAGCAACCTTATATGATACTTAAACAATGTTCCTTATCATATAATATTTTATAAAGACCAATTTTCTCCTTTAATAAAAGTAGGACAATGGGACAATAATATACTGATACACCACTTCACAATTTTTACAACTATGGATTCAAAAAAAAATTGATATCCAAATATATAAATTGTACTTTGATGTATGATAAACCACTTCTAACTTATCATCTTATTTCCAACAATCCCCCACAAATCCATAGTTGTAGACTCAACTCCAAGACACAGTGTGCTTTCAAATATGGTACCTTCCGGTTTGAACCAAATTCTAAGCTCTTACCCCTAACCCCCCACAGGAACTGAGTGAACAGAGTTCTTGAACTCGAACCTTGATTGTGTTGGTGTGGGATAAAAGCAACACACTAACGGAAATGGCAACGATCTATAGGGGTGACGCTTTTACGGCCATGCGTCCTGATCCTGTCTCAAGAATGTCATCGAGAATTAACCCTTATTCTCTTATTGCGGCCACACAATAACATTCTCATAGTTGGGCATCTCCAAGAGTGCATTGCTAACACTCTGTTATTAAAGCTTGATCCCATTCAGAGTCTTAAACTCTTACTAACTTAGCAACTTCAACATCTCTAAGGCTTATCAAGGAATAGAACTCATAAAACATATATTAATGAGATGCACAATTCACTCTATGGTTTGTTTATACCACATTGAACCTACTTAATGGGATCTCCACTCAGATAGGTTGGGTTGCCACCGTAGATGAATAATTATTGGGTTTCAGTCCCATTCCTAACCTTGATTTTATCACTTGATTTAAATCAAGTCCTTTTGTTAAAGGGTCTGCTGTATTATCTTTGGATCCAACAAAATCAACAGCAAACACTCCTTGAGACACAAATTTCCTTATAGTTTTTAATCTAACTTGAATGTGTCTCCTAGTCTTTTGATTATACTTGGAACTCCTAATTTTTGCAATTGTACTCATACTATCACAATGCAAACAAATAGGTGGAATTGGCTTGCTGAATATAGGTAACTCGGACATTAGTCCCATAAATCATTCAGCCATAATTCCTGTAGTATCCAACGCACATAATTCAGCCTCAAAAGTAGACCGAGAAAGTACAGTTTGTTTAGTGGACTTCCAGGCAACAGCCCCACCACCAAATGTAAACACATAGCCAGTACACCCATAACTCCCAGAGTTCTTAGCTATCCAGCTTGCATCACTATATCCTTCAAGAACAGGAGGATATTTGCCATAATGCAAACACAAGGAAATATTTCCTTTCAAGTATCTAAATACTCTATTTAAGGCCTCCCAATGAGTTCTGTTTGGACAACAAGTGTACCGACTCAGTTTAGACACTGAAAATGCAATATCAGGTCTAGTACAGTTAGCTAAGTAACCCAAGCTACCAATCATCTGAGAATATCTTAATTGAGACACAGGAACACCACTTTCATTTTTATACAAAGCTACTGAAGGATCATAAGGTGTTTTAGCAATTCTACTATTTTTAAATCCAAATTTCTCAATTAATTTTTCAATATAATGTGACTGAGAAATAGAAATGCCTTCAGTTGATCTAATCAACTTTAGTCCAAGAATTACTTCAGCCACCCCCATATCCTTCATTTCAAACTTAGTTTTCAAAAATGACTTAGTCTCAAAAATAATATTATCATTAGTGCCAAATAATAATATATCATCAACATATAGGCATAAAATAATACTTACATCACCTTTACATTTATAATAAACACTTTGATCAGCATCTATAAGAGTAAATCCAAACGAAAAAATTATTTTATCAAATTTTTCATTCCATTGCTTAGGGGCTTGCTTAAGTCCATATAAAGACTTAACTAATTTACAAACTTTTGTCTCATTGCCTTTTGCCACAAATCCCTCAGGCTGATCCATATAAATTTCTTCTTCAAGGTCACCATGAAGAAAGGCTGTCTTAACATCCATTTGATGAATTTTAAGACCATATACGGAGGCCAATGCTATGAGCATTCTTATCGTGGTCATTCTTGCAACAGGAGCATATGTATCGAAAAAGTCAATACCTTCTTTTTGTTTATAACCCTTAGCAACTAATCTGGCCTTATATTTGTCAATGGTTCCATCTGGTTTTAACTTCTTTTTAAAAATCCATTTACATCCAATAGTGGTACAACCAGGAGGAAGTTCAACGAGCTCCCATGTTCCATTTTGAACAATAGAGTCCATTTCACTTTTAATGGCATCCTTCCAATAAATGGCCTCGGATGTGGCCATTGCATCTCTAAAGGAAATTGGATCACCCTCAATATTGTAAGTGATAAAGTCACTTCCAAAATCCTTAGTGATCCTAGCTCGTTTGCTCCGTCTTGGCTCATCTAGATCATTTGATTCAAAATCAAAATGACTAGAATTACTAGATTCTACCCCCACATTTGTCATCTTTTCCACTTGATCAGGAATTGAATTAAATGTGGTTTCTTGATTTTTAAAAGAAGTATTTTGGGGCGCACCCGTTTTCATTGGAAAAACATCTTCAAAGAAAGTAGCATCACGAAGTTCTACAATAGTATTGACATCTATGCCAGAAATTTCAGATTTAATAACCAAAAATCTCAATGCATAAGAATGTTCAACATAACCAATAAAAATAGCATCAACAGTTTTAGGTCCAAGTTTCTTTCTTTTGTGTTCAGGGACTAAAACTTTTGCAAGACAGCCCCACACTTTAAAATATTTCAAACTTGGTTTTCGCCCCGTCAAGAGTTCAAATGGACACTTATCTTTATGTTTCATGGGAATTCTATTCAGAATATGGCATGCACTATTCAAGGCTTCCCCCACATAAACTTAGGTAATCCAGAATTCTCTAATAAACTGTTAATCATATCTTTAAAAGTTCTATTTTTCCGTTCAGCTACTCCATTTGATTGTGGTGAATAAGGAGGTGTTTCTTCATGTACTATACCATATTTTTGGCATTCTAGTACAACTAAATTAGAAGTATATTCTCCTCCCCTATCAGATCTTAACCTTTTAATTTTCTTGCCAGTTTGATTCTCTATTTCATTCTTAAAAATTAAGAATTTTTCAAGAGCTTCATCTTTACCCTTAAGTAGATACACATAGCAATATTTAGAATAATCATCAATAAAAGTGATAAAGTATTTCTTTTGGTCACGAGTAAGCACTCCATTAAACTCACAGATGTCGGTATGAATTAAATCAAGTAATTCTGAATTTCTATCAATTGAATGATAAGGTTTTCTTACTTGTTTAGTTGTAGCACATACCATACATTTCTTAGTTTTATCAATAGAGTGTTTAGGGATTAAATTTAAATTCATCATTCTTTTTACAGAATCTAAATTAACGTGACCCAAACGACAATGCCATAAACAAGAAGAATCACAATTCTCAGATATATAGTTTAATTCCAAATAATCAACCACAATCTTAAAAAGTCCATCTGACAAGTAACCCTTGCCAATAAAAAGTCCACCAAATAAAATTACAACTTTATTTAATTTAAAAGACAATTCATAACCCTCCCTAACTAGAATGGAACCACTAACAATGTTCCTTCTAATTTCTGGAACGTGATGCACTCTATGCAAAGTAAGAATTTTTCCCGAAGGGAATTTTATTTCTACTTTTCCAACTCCATGCACACTAGCAGCACTTGTGTTTCCCATCATCACTGTTCTTCCAACCGCAGGCTGATAAGAAACAAAGAGCGATTTATCAGCACATACATGCACATTCGCTCCTGTATCTATTAGCCACTCATTGGAATTATAAATAGTGAAAACTTGAGGGTTAAAAGAAACATACCCATCGGAACTAGTTCCTCCAGTCACCATGTTGACTTGAGGTCCACCAGATTGAGCCTTAGCCTTTTTATTTGGGCACAATTTGGCCCAATGCCCCATCTGTCCACAGTTCCAGCATGGACGGTTTGCTTTTGGTTTCTTTGCAATTTTTAATTTGGCCTTTATTGGTTTAAAAGATGATGGTTGCTTATTTTTAGAGTTATGTGCTTGCTTCCCCCCAGTTATAACATGAGCCTTCGGTTGAAATTCAACAGGCGCAATATAACCCGCTTTCTTATGTTCCTCCTAAACAGTAATGGAATGCATCAAAGATTTCCAAGTGATCTTTTTCATTTTATGTTTTAAAGTCATACCAAAATCTTCCCATGATTTGGGAAATTTTTCTATGACCGCCATCACTTTAAATTTTTCAGGCAATTCCATGTCTGCTTCACGAAGAGAATGTAAGATAAGCTCAAATTCTTGTGTCTGTTCTAAAACTGATTTTCCCTCTTTCATGTCAAATCGTAGGAATTTAGAAACAATATATTTTTCAAGACCGTGGTCATCAGTATTATATTTTCTATCCAACTCATCCCAAAGGTCCTTAGTCGTGCCGTGGAGGGTGCAATAGACATCAAATAACATGTTGGAGAGACCCAACAAAATCATGCCTTTTGCAATTTCATCCCTCTCACGCCATGAAGCTTGGCGTTCAAGACTTTTGGGATCCGATTCAACAACGGGGGGACACACCGTCATAATCACTGAAAGCAAGCCCTTGGTGATTAACCAAATTTTCATGCGTTGTTGCCAACGCTTGAAAAAATGCCCAGAAAATTTTTCAGGCATACCGGTTAAATCCACCCTGTGCGAGCCCGTAGCAATATATTCAGGTGTGCCTTGTGAATTAGTGGCAGACATAGTATTATCATTTTCAGGGGAACCAAAAACATTCTCTAAACCAACAGTTTCATTGTTAACAACATTTTCCAAGTTTGCCATTTTTGGATTTTCCAAAACTCGAGAAATATTATCTTTCTTCAAGATTGTTAGAAAAAAGATATTAAAAATTGCGAGTTTAACCAGATAAAAATCCCGAGTTTGAACAAATCACCAGACAAACCGCCAAATGCAAGAACAAAATTAAACAAAAAATAATTAGAATAAATGAAATGAAATAATAGAAAGGATAAGAAAGCTTATCGCAGGATCGCCCGCAAAAACGGACTGGCCTTGAAGAAAGATAGCCCCTGTATCCCGATAGCTATTCGGACAGGTCTGGCTAGCTCGCTCCCAGGATAATCCTACCACGTTTCAGGCTTGTAGCTACCTTGACTGAAACCTTCGACCGTTGCCAAAATTGCCGATTAAAGAGATAAGGATTCAAGAGTAAGAATAAACCCTTCCGAGTTGAATACGAAAGGGAGTATATTTCGTGAAATAAGCTGAAAGATTCCAAAAGGGAAAAACAAAAGCAAATAACTTGCACAGCTACTTTTACTACGTAAGTGGATGAAGAGATTAGGAGAGATCAATTCCTTTTTTTTTGGTGCGTTCTTGGGAGATCATGCAAGTAGTGAGTTATATACTCACTTTGGAAATCAGGTACATCAATAATTCATATTCAATGAAATTGAATTCACAAAAGTGGCAACGCTCATCCAAATAATTAAGTACGCCAGTTACGATCCTAATGATTTGGATCAATAATTGCTTTACTTAACCGGCCATGCAGCCTAATAATTTCGAAATTCAAACTTCGAATTTATTATTCCATTTGAATGCATTTGAAATTTAATTGTCCAGACATCCTAATTACATGGTCCTTATACTTGATACATTTCTTTAATCGTTCATACCCGAGCAGGCATACACGTATTACGTAATATATCAAGCAACCTTATATGATACTTAAACAATGTTCCTTATCATATAATATTTTATAAAGACCAATTTTCTCCTTTAATAAAAGTAGGACAATGGGACAATAATATACTGATACACCACTTCACAATTTTTACAACTATGGATTCTAAAAAAAATTGATATCCAAATATATAAATTGTACTTTGATGTATGATAAACCACTTCTAACTTATCATCATATTTCCAACATATATATATATATATATATATATATATATATATATATATATATATATATATATATATATATATATATATATATATTCGGCTTCATGTCATGTTTATACTACGTAACATACAAGTTTGCTTTGTTCTAATATGATATATTAAGACATGTTGCTATGTTTAAGTTTGTTTCCTTCTAGTCTCTACCTTTAGAATATGATTTAATATGATTTGAATTGGTTTGATATAATGTGATAGTTTTTGTTTCTTCACGTACATATGCTTTTCTTTGTTATGTTATCAAATTATATGTTGACTGTGTTTTTATACTTCAACCGCATATTCAAGTAATTCAACTATTTGATTATATACAACTTTAAGAATTTAAATTGATTAAAACGGTTAGACTAATTTTCATGATTACCAAATACCAATCGGGGATCTTCATGTTGGTGGCTTGATGCTCAAATTAGTTTTCGGGTTTTAAGATAGTAGAAAAATGGTATCAAACAACACCCATAAATGAACTCAAGAAACTACATAATTTTAATATCGTTTTCTAGTTGCTACTGTGTTCTGAGGGGGATATAATTGTACGTAGTGATAATTATGACTAATAATAATTTGGTTGATTTTTTCTTTTTGATGCGATGGCCTCATTCTTATGAAAATGGGTGGACCAAATAGGACCACTGAGTAGTTTCATTAGAGGAGTCAAGTCATCTTTCAATGGATGTACCATATAGGGTTAGTGACTAGTTTCACAAGAGGAGTCAAGTCATGTTACAATTTGTGGCTCAAATTAGTTTACAATTACTTAGTTATTTTTCAATTTAGGTGCCAGTAAAGTAAATCTTTTTGAAATAATTAGGGAATGTTTACTTACAGAGATATTTTCCAGATTTTTAGAAAACTGGAAAACTGAAAAACGTAAAATAGGAAAACGTGCTTACAACTTTCATGTACTATTTTCATGTACGTTACTAACTTGTTTTGAGTTTCTCCTATATTTCTAACAATTATTGACCTTTGTTGTGAAAAAAAGTTTCTGGTTGCTCTATTATGAGTTAACTTTTACTGGTTTTTGTGTTGTTATACAAATTGTAGGTATCATTGGTTGATAGAGGTTAAAAGGATTCAACAATGTAAGCATTTAAAAGCATTTTCCGTATATGCATTTTAAATTAAGCACATGTATATATTAATACATTAACATTATTACATATATAAATAAACTACGTATGTTTTTAGGGTCCTTCTATAGTACCTTCATGAATTAGAAGTGTATCGGTACATTTGGCGTAATACTGAATTATACTCCATACATCTGAGTAGCTATATAAATATAGAATGGTGATGTGGCACATTTGATTGGCTTACAAAACTCAAGTACAGGTGCCTCTTATATTAATAAAGGTACGGTAGAAATTCCCATGTTTTTATTGGTATTTGGATTTGTCAATTGTATATATTAGTTTAACATTGGGTCTGCTATTCTTATTCAGGTGTGAAAATTTAATCACTTTGGCGTGAGATTCTTATATTGATTTCAAGTTCTAATAACAGGCTTGAAACTTTTTGACTTGATTATCTGGTGGATATTGGTGTTTTAAGAAAATTATGACTTGATTATTTGCGCTACTGGTATTGAAACTGTACAGTTACTTTTCTTGTAATTAATTTTATTAAGATTTTTTTATGTTGGTGTTTTAAGAAAATTCAGTTTAAGAAAACTTGAGATGATGGCGTTTTACTAGTTTGTGAGAATTGAAATGATGTGTGAACGTTGCTGCAGGTGAGGAGGTTTGGTTGGTTGTGTTTGTGCTGGTGTAGCATCACACTTATTTATATATATACATTTTCATTCTGTTTTCTATGTTTTCAAACATGGCATAGGCAATTCACCATGGCGTCACAGGTTTTAAGAAGTATTATGACTTGATTATTTGCGCTACTGGTATTGAAACTGTACAGTTACTTTTCTTGTAATTCAGTTTATTAAGATTTTTTTATGTTGGTGTTTTAAGAAAATTCATGAGCATTAAATTGGTGATAAGAGGTGAGATTGTGTCTGTGGTAAGTGCCTATGCACCACAAGTGGGATTGGATACATCTACAACTCAACAGTTTTGGGAAGATCTTGAGGACGTGGTGCGACGAGTGCCAAGGGGAGAGAAGTTGATCATAGGAGGTGACCTCAACGGGCATGTGGGCTCGAGTCGTGATGGCTTTGAGAATATTCATGGCGGACATGGTTTTGGCACTAGGAATGAGGCGGGAAAGAACATTTTGGATTTTGCCTTGACGTATGAGTTGGCTATAATGAACACTTGGTTTAAGAAAAGAGACTCTCACCTTGTAACCTATAAAAGTGGAGCTAATAGTACCCAAATTGACTACTTCTTAGTACGGACCACTTGGAGAACTAGCTACACTGATTGTAAGGTTATTCCAGGTGAGAGTGTTGTCACTCAGCATAGGATGCTTGTGCTTGACTTTCGAGGTAAGAACCATAGAAGACAAGTTAAACAACAAGTGGAACCAAAGATAAAGTGGTGGAGGCTTGAGGGAGATCTTCAACAAAGCTTTACACACAAAATGGTCGGTGAAGATGTATGGCGTATTGATAATGAAACACATGTGGATGATGTGTGGTTATCAATGGAGTTGACCATTAACAAAGTGGCAAAGGAGGTACTTGGAGAATCTAAAGGATGTCGGCCACCTAAAAAGGACACATCTTGGTGGAATGATGAGGTGAAACAATGCATAAGGAACAAAAGAGATTGCTACAAAAAGTTGGGGACAAATTGGAGTGATGAGAACATAGAAGCATACAGGGAGGCTAAAAGACAAGCAAAGAAAGCCGTAAGGGAAGCACGAGGGAAAGTGAACAAGGAGTTGTATGAAAAGTTGGACTCTAAGGAAGGAGAACTAGATATTTATAGACTTGCTCGTCTTCGTGATCGCAGAACTCAAGATATTGCAAAAGTTAAGTGTGTGAAGGATGTTGATCAGAGGATATTAATTGACGACGGAGAGATAAAAGAAAGGTGGAGGTCATACTTTGATACACTATTCAACGGGAACAAAACGCAAGATATCGGCGATTTGTCCATACCAGATTGTATGGTAAACCGTGATTTTGTGAGAAGGATCCAAACAACGGAAGTTAAAGAAGCTCTGAGGAAGATGGGACGGAAAAGAGCAATGGGGCCAGATGGCATACCGATCGAGGCTTGGAGAAGTTTGGGAGAGAGAGGCGTCGAGTGGTTAACAAGTTTCTTCAACATGATTTGGAGAAACAACAAGATACCAACGAGTTGGAGGAAGAGTACTCTTATCCCCTTATTTAAGAATAAAGGTGATGTACAAGAATGTGCCAACTATCGAGGGATTAAGCTTATGAGTCACACCATGAAACTTTGGGAGCGAGTGATTGAGCAAAGACTTCGAAGGACTGTGAAGATTTCAGAAAATCAATTCGGTTTTATGCCTGGTCGCTCAACAACTGAGGCCATTCACCTTCTTCGACAACTTATGGAGAAGTATAGAGATGCTCATAAGGATCTGCATTTGGTGTTCATTGACTTAGAAAAGGCATATGATAGGGTACCTCGAGAAGTTCTTTGGTGGGCCTTAACTAGGAAAGGCATATCACGCAAGTATATCAGCATCATCATGGATATGTATGAGGATTGTACTACAAGTGTTCGTACTAGTGTAGGGAGGACTGAAGAGTTCCCTATTACTATCGGAGTGCACCAAGGACCGACCTTGAGTCCTTTCTTATTTGCCATAGTCATGGATGAACTTACGAAGTCAATTCAAGACGATATACCGTGGTGCATGATGTTTGCCGACGATATTGTATTGATTGATGAGACGCAATCAGGTCTTAAAGCAAAGTTGGAAGTATGGCGACAAACATTGGAGAATAAGGGTTTCAAACTAAGTCGGAGCAAGACAGAGTACATGGAGTGCAAGTTTGGTGGAGGTAGAAGTAGTGGTAATAGCGGAATTACTCTGGATGGTAAGGAGATACCGGTCAGCGATATGTTCCGTTACTTGGGCTCCATAATTCAGAAGGACGGTGAGTTAGATGGAGATGTATCCCATAGAATCAGAACAGGGTGGATGAAGTGGAAGAGTGCGTCAGGATTTCTATGCGACCGAGGTATGCCGACTAGACTGAAGGGTAAATTTTATAGGACAGCAATTAGGCCTGCATTACTGTATGACGTAGAGTGTTGGGCGGTGAAACAATGTCACATTCATAAGATGAGTGTGACAGAGATGCGCATGCTGCGTTGGATGTGTGGGCATACTAGGAAGGACCGCGTGAGGAATGAGACAATCAGACAAAGGGTGGGAGTAGCACCTATTGAAGACAAGATGCGGGAGTCGCGTCTACGGTGGTTTGGTCATGTGCGTAGAAGACCGAGTGATGCACCTGTTAGGCGAGTTGAGATGTGTGGACAAG